AAAGGTCCGCAGCAGTTTTTTTTTAAAATAACTTTTGATAGATTCAAGCTAGAGCGATAAAAACACCTCAGCTGTGTTCAGCTCGACGATACGCATCGACTGCTATGCAGCATGACCTTTCCCGGTCAGGTCATGACCTTGACCTGAGGTCAAATTCTCAAAATTACCCTTCATAAGGTCAACCTTTAGTTTGTTCGACGTGTCTCGACGACAGAAACGCAATGCTGGCAAACGTAATGTCGAGACTCTCTTGAGTCAAAAGTTATTGCAGGAAAACATTGTTCGTAAAAAGGCTATTTTTAGAGTCTTTTGCCCTCTGAAGGCTAAACCGTTGACCTGAGGTCTAATCTGAGCGCAGCTTGCAGAAACACCTTTAAAAGGGCTATCGAATGCGCTTTTCTGCGGCGCTATAGCTCTATTGGTTTCCGAGTTATGTGCCGCTGCTTCGAAAACGGAAAAATGTTGAAACAGGCAACATTTTACCTTTGATGACCTCTGGTGACCTGACATTCGACCTGACCTAAAAATGACCGTTTTGTTTTCGTCCTGTTTTTTGACGATCTTTCGAATGCCGCTTATCGCGTTTCACTACGCGGCCCAGGAGCCGAGTTAGACGAGGGAGTGTGCCCCCCCCCTCCCCAGCAGGACACGGAAAACTCAGACCACCAGCACGGCACGGGTTAAAAGTCGTAGATGGGCACCGCCACCCTAGCAAAAGATGTTAGCAAAAAGGTGACCTCCATTTACTGGTGCAGTCCTCCTTCTCCCCGTGATGCCCCCTCCTTTTTCTGGAAGCGTCTCACTTATGCTGGTATGCCTCACTTCCCGGGGGTGCCCAACCTCTGCTTGGATCGCCTAATCCATTATGGAGAGACCCACTTTGCTTAAGTCGCCTCATTTCTTCCTTCTAAGAACGACCAATTTGCTGTAGGCGGCCCACTTATCTGGGACGCCCATCTTCTGCTAGAAGTGCCCCTCTTCTTCCTGATGCGTCCCACTTCTACTACGAGTGCACCTTTTCTGTTAGGGCGCCCCTTTGCTGCTGAGGAGTCTTTTCTACTGTGAATAGGGCGGCCCTCTCTTGTTTGGCGACCCCAAATTCTGCTGGAGGCGCCCCACTTCTGCCCAACTTTTGGTGGGATGCCCCTCTCTTGCAGGGGGCACTTCTCTTTTGCTGGAGACGCCACTCTTGTGGGGGCGCCCTTCCACTGCGGGGAACGTCTCTCTTCTGCCAGAGGCACCCCTTTTCTTCTTATGGGGCTCCTGTTTTTTTTTTCTGGGGCGAGGTGACCCTCTGCTGCTCGGAACGGGGCACACCTCTCCTTTTACTGGGGCACCGCCCCTCTGCTGGGGTTGCCCTTCCGCTGTCGTCAGGGGCGCCCCTCTTGGTAGAATATACTCCTTTTCTTTTTGCAATGGGGCGCCCCTCTTCTACCGGGGGCGCCCATCTGATGCTGGGGCGTCTGTCTTCTGCCGGATATTGTCAATGGGGCGCCCATATCCTGTTTGGCGGGCCCAACCTCTGCTGGAGGCTGCCTATTTCTGATTAACTTTTGCTGTGGCGCCTCTCTTCTGCTGGGGCGCCCCTCTTCTGCTTGGGGCGCCCGTCTCCTACTGGAGACCCCTCTCTTCTGCTGGGGCGCCCCTCTTCTGCCAGTGGCACCCATTTTCTTATTATGGGGCTCCTTTTTTGCTGGGGCGCCCAGCTGCTGTCAGGGCGCCCCTCTTCTCGGAATGGGGGCGCCTCTCTCCTTTTGCTGCGGCGTCGCTCCTCTTCAGGGGGACAATGGGGCGTCGCTCCTCTTCTTTTTGCAATGGGGCGCCCCTCTTCTACCGGGGGCGCCCATCTCATGCTGGGGCGTCTGTCATCTGCCGGATATTGTCAATGGGGCGCCCATATCCTGTTTGGCGGGCCCAACCTCTGCTGGAGGCTGCCTATTTCTGATTAACTTTTGCTGTGGCGCCTCTCTTCTGCTGGGGCGCCCCTCTTCTGCTTGGGGCGCCCGTCTCCTACTGGAGACCCCTCTCTTCTGCTGGGGCGCCCCTCTTCTGCCAGTGGCACCCATTTTCTTATTATGGGGCTCCTTTTTTGCTGGGGCGCCCAGCTGCTGTCAGGGCGCCCCTCTTCTCGGAATGGGGGCGCCTCTCTCCTTTTGCTGGGGCGTCGCTCCTCTTCAGGGGGACACGTCTCCTGCTAAGGGTGCCCTTCCGCTGCCAGGGGCGCCCCTCTTGAACAGAAAGTATTTTATATTCTTGTAACGAGACGCCCTCTTCTGCTGGGGGCGCCCATCTGCTGCTGGGGCGACTCTCATCTGCTGGGAATAGGCAATTGGGCGTCACTTTCCTGCTTGGTGAGCCCAACTTCTGCTGGAGGCGCCCTATTTCTGCTGAACCTTTGCTGTGTCGCCGCTCTTCTGCTCGGGGCGCCCTCTCTGCCGCGGGATATGGGCGCCTTTTTCGGATGGCGGGGGGGGGGGGGGCGGCCGCCCCCGTCGCCCCCCCCCCCCCTGGATCCGCGCCTGGCTCGTAGGGATCGTGCTAAGTAAAAAAGAGCATATAATGACTCAGCATATCATATATATGTTTTAAATAATTGACTGCTTTGCATCATTGCACAAAAAGTAACAAAACTCCAAACATAAGGGCCATTGGAATTTCGGGTTTGTAAGTACAACGTTTTCTTTCAAGTTTTTGGTCTGAAACAGAAAGTTTGCGATTTCGATGTTTCTTGCAAACTTTTTTCTTGTAAAAAGCTGCTTAATTGTAAACTCAAAATTCATGCTCGGAGGTTTCGTGAAATCCAAATTTCAAATGTTGGTAATTATTTCTTTAAAAGGGACACTCCCACCTTAACATTAGTTTTGAGTTGAGATAGCCAAATTGGTGGCCATGGCCTGCAAATACCGGTTTGGGCACTCACAACATCGACAAATGCTTTAATTCGGAGATATGGAATTTCAAACTTGCAGTTTTCGGATTCTAAGGGGCTAGTGCATTGGTATGCCCCCTTAGAATTTGTGACGTCAGCGGAGATCTTACGATTTTTAAATCTTTTACTTAAACGTTTGGTAGCACGCGGTGGTATATGCTGCTTTGCGCGCAACAAATGCCGCACTTTCAAATAAAGTCGCTAGGAACAGCGGAGATCCCAAAAAGTAAACAAAAGTAAAAGTATAATATCTTGAAAACCGGTGAATATTTTTCGATGAAATTTGGTTGATATTCGTTTTCGCTCTTTCTGAACCGAGCGACATCACTTTCGTGCCGATTCATTAACTTTTTTGAAGGTGGGAGGGTCCCTTTAAACTCAAGTTTTTGTGTAATTACAAACTTTGTTAGTGAAACAGGCCTAAAGAAGGAACGTTTCCGAGATATAGGTATTCATTCATTTTAACAAATAGTAAGAAAATTAACTTTTCAAGATTCAAGATTAATTCATTTCAGGCTAATTTTGGATTTTAAAGGATAGTGAGCATACCTAACCCAGTAAACATGCCGACGTCGGCCCGACGTCGGGCCGAGGCTCGGCCCGACGTCGGCCCAACGTCAGTTCAACCTCGGCCCGACATCGGCTGGGCGTCGGATATGCCTGCATGTTCCGACGACCAGCCGAAGTCCAGCCGACGTCGGGCCGAGGTCGTTTGCCGAGGTTGACGAGATCGTTTGTCGTTGGACCGACGGGGCCGACGTCAGCATGTTTATTGGGATAACGCGCCAAAAATATCAACCGGCGGCGGGATTCGAGCCCCCCAGTCGCCGACGTCGGCATGTTTACTGGGACAACACGCCAAAAGCATCATCCGGCGATGGTATTCGAACCCCGTGTCATTTGCACGCGAGGTTAGTGCGCTAACCACTACACCACACAGCCAGATAGCGAGCTTAGTTTGTTTTGTTGGGTTATGCCCTTTCGGTCTGACAAGACCATTTCAGAGCCGGAAGGATGATAGGATGGAGACATTGGTCTTCTTGGCGAGCACCCTGGGTCCAGTTCATATAGAGTCCCTGGTCCCATTGCTGTTACGTGACACTTGTTGGAAAGGGCGACCCCACAATGGATTCATATAGCCACTCTCAGACTTACACACCTGCACCAACGTTTCCCAAAGTGTCCCTTTGATAAGTGGCACTTTGGCAAAGTGACACTTGCCGACTGGCCTTTCTATATGAACTGGGCCCGGCCCTGGTGAGTTGCCGGGGCTGAGCCTGACCAAAGGATAGGCCGAGCAGCCCCCAAGCACTCACCGCACCCGGCTACGGGCGAGCTCGGCTTACGGGCAATCCCAAATGGGATAAAGTTTCCCGTCCAGTCCGGATCAGGGGGTTGCAGCGTGGAGGAAGATTTGAGTTTCCTGAGGATATTTTGAATACAGAAGCTCTTCATGAAACATAAACATGTATTTTATATTATTTTAACGGTCAAAAAAGCGTTACCTGACCTTCAGGTGACCTTGACATCCACCCTAATGCATGGGGGCAACATCATATCACATGTTTGAACGCTTGAAACCACGAAAAGACTGCAAACGCGCGGCTAATGCGAACCGACATACGCCGAATAGCGATTCCAGCCAAACATGATCTCGAAAAGTAGGTCACAGGTCAAAGGTCATTTGGGTCAGGGTCATGAAATTTTCAGGGTAGGTGTGAAATTGATGAACGCGAGGGTACAGAAAGTTTCGTCGCGCTCGGCCGCTTTTTACGCGAGTTATTCGCGAAAAACCAAGGGGGGTCCGTTCGACCCCCGGCCCCCCCCCCCTATACGGGCGAGGGTTAAGGGGGCGTTTTGCACGGTTCTCCCCTATACCTACCTGCCTACTGATGAGCCACATTCACAATCTAAAAAAAAAACATACCATGTGCAAATAATTTTTTTCTATTAACTCCATATTTTGCATTCTGATTTAGTATGTGAGAAGTGTGATTGATGGCAGGACCCGGTTGGACCCGCCCGAAAATTTCCAGGAATCGGTCATAAGGGTTCAGACTGAGTCTATGGGCCGGTTCCCCGGGTCCACATTTTGCCACCTCTAGTCTATACCGAAAGATGATTGTGTTTCAGCGCTTCGGATAATGTTTGCTGAGCCGCTGAGCGAATCGGCGCGGCGCGTCTGGCGGTATATTCGAGAGCACCGGTGGCAGGCGGACGCTGAGCCGGCGCGCTCGGCAGCAGTACCCGACGGAGCCGCGCGAGGTGACCACCGGGTCGGTGCGCGGTGCGCTCCGCTCGCATCGCGTCGACCCTCACGAGACAGACCCTTGCGGAACCCGGCGCGCACTGGACCCATACGGTACTGGCACTTGGAGCAGAGCACCGGTGGCTCCTGCCCGCACAAATCGGCACGCCATTACAACGACCCTGTGGATCGGTTTGCAAGGCCCGCATTTCATCAACGTATTGAGACGACCACACACCGAGCCGCTTCTGCCGGCGCACGCGCGGAAGATCCCGACTGCGACAGACAGAATGTGCCACGCAGCGTGACTGAGTGTGACAGACGCCTCTCCAGAGCGAACGGCCGATCAGCACGCTCCTGCTCCTCCTCCCGACTGGGGCCCCCACAGTATACGAGTACACCCGCTAGCGTAGCGCCGTGCAACTTCGCTGACGAGATCATATCTGCCAGCCAGACTCGGCTAAGCCTCCTAATGCAACGGAGGCCCCCGAAGACGTGGGAAGGGCCATCACAAGTTCCGTCTCTTCAGAGAGATACCGATGCGACTGGATCATCCTCACCTGCTAACGGTGCCAACCCGAAGCTGGGTGCGGAAGAGTGTCCTTCGCTCGACCAATGCCGCCCAGTCCGCACCCCTGAGACACGGCTAGGGCGATTCACCTGTACTCCTGAGGGCGACACGACGAGCGGGGCCGGGAGGCCGTCTCGGCCGGCTGCCGACACCGGCGCGCCGCGGCCCAAGGAGGCTGCCGCGGAGGCCGTCCTCGATACCAGTCACCGGCAGACGGCGGCGGCGCCGCGCTCTGCGGAGGTGCCGTGCTTCTCGCTGCTCTCTCCGTTCGGACTGACCGCCTGCCCGCAGGCAGCCGGCGACCAGATCAGCAGCCCCGAGAGGCAGCTGTCTGAACAGGTACCATCACTATCCGAGACTGCCTCGGACCGAACATGTATAGACGGTCATGACCAGAGTACTACGGCTCCTGAGCACTCTGATGGCTCTATTGCACGAGGACCGAGCTCTCCTGCTAGGTTTTCAGTTTATAGTGAAGTGCTCAACTCCGATCAAGACAAACACGAAGTACTGAACAGTAGTGACAGCCAGACACGTGAAAAGGTGGATTTTGTTTCTCCGCTGCCGGTCAAGACGGCTGCTACTGCAGCGGCAGACAGTGCCGGTAAAAGGACTGCTCCCAAAGTCCGGCCATCATTCGACCCAGTCAGGCGGTCCGACGGGATGACAAAGACGGCTAAGCAGCCAGCTGGTTCCTTGGTGGCCGCCGGTACTGACACGAAGGGATCCACTTCCTGCGGCGGACAAGAAGCGAGCAAGACTAACGACATGTTGATGGGGCCACCACTGTACCCGATTTTCCACGGCCGACGGTCCAAGAGGGCGAGACTTCCGAGCAGTGGAACGCCTGCAGTCGATGACAGTCCATCGCGGAAAGAACGGCTTGACTCTCGCAGCAGTCGGCAAACATGCCGAGTAACGACCCGGCCTACGACAGACTTGTCCGTGGAACACATTCAGACAGTCACCTCCAGGCCCAGAGAGTCTCCAGACAGACAGAGGGCCCGCACAGCCACCCGCCACGAAGGTGAGCTCACCGCACTGCTCTTGGCCGTGTCATCTGGCTCGGCCATTGCCTCGCTGACTGCCGAGTGCGCTGAGCCGCTCGCTCGCGCCCTGCAGGAACCGACCATCACGTGCGTCTGCCTTTGTCTGGAGCACGATGACGGGGGCAGTCAGTTGCGACCTGTGACCGAGCGCCGCTCGGGCGCGCTGCTGCCGGGACACGCCGCTCTGGTGGCCGCTGTGGTCGGTGGCCGTCTGGACGGGGTGACGATTCGCCTGCGGCCAGACGGCATGTCTACCGGCGCCGTGTCAGCGGTGGCCGCAGCGCTGCTGGCCGGCGCGGGCAGACGCGTGTGCTGGGGTGCCCGTGAGCTGCTGCTGTTTATGCTACGGCGCTGCGGCGTCCGAGCAGCGGACGGGTTTCGCTGCTGGCGGTTGAGGGATCTCACCATCGCGGACTGGCTGCTGGAGCCGGACCGTCCGTCGCGTCAGTTCTGCGAGGTGCTGTCTGAGCTGGGTGCGCAGTCGGGTACGGCGGCGCGGGACGCCGCTCTCAGTCGGCAGGAGCAGCTGGCCGCCGACCTGCGCCAGTTGGCCCAGCTGGACACGGCCATGGCGCAGCGGCTGCGCACGGCCGGCCTGCTGGCGCTGTTTGAGCTGGTCGAGACGCCGCTGGCCACCGTGCTGGCCGCCATGGAGGCGCACGGCGTGCAGGTGGACGTGGCGCGCCTGCACGCCGCGGCGGCCGCCTGCCAGCGCCAGCTGCGCTGTCTGGAGGCGGCCGCGCAGCGGGCCGCCGGCACCGTGTTCTCGCTGTCGTCGTCGGCCCAGCTGCGGCGCTTGCTGTACGACGAGCTGCGGCTGGACGCGCGCTCCGGCGTCAGCGTGCCGCTCACCGAGCGCGGCCTCAAGTCGACCAGCGAGCAGGCGCTGCAGCGGCTGCTGGCCGCCCACCCGCTGCCCGGCCTGGTCATCCAGCACCGGCGCCTGCTCAAGTTCAAGTCGACATACGTGGAGGGCGTGCTGGCGCAGGTGCGTGGCGGGGGCGTGTTCCCGCAGTGGCTGCAGACGGCGGCCGCCACCGGGCGCGTGCAGGCCGCCGCGCCCAACCTGCAGTCGGTGCCCAAACGGCCGCTGGCGCTGACCACTGACGGAGGCGACACCGACGACCGCAGCGCCGTGCTGGCTCGCTCGCCGTTTGTGGCGCGCTCCGGGCACACCCTGCTGTCGATGGACTTTTGTCAGATGGAGCTGCGGCTTCTGGCACACCTGTCTCGCGACGCATGCCTGATGGCCGCCATTCGCGACGCTCCGAGCGGCGACATCTTCCGGCAGCTGGCGGCGCTGTGGACAGGAGTGCCGGCAGACGCCATCGACGACGCGCAGCGCGAGCGCACCAAGCGGCTGGTGTACGCAGCCATGTACGGCGCCGGCCGCCACCGTCTGGCCGAGGTGCTCCAGTGCGAGCCGCAGCAGGCGCAGCGCGCGCTGGACAGCTTCCTGGCGCAGTGTCCAGCCATCGGCGCGTTCAGCAGTCAGGTGGTGGCCGAGTGCCGGCGCGCCGGCCTGGTCAGCTCGCTGCTGGGCCGACGCCGCCGGGTGGCAGCCATCATGTCGTCACAGCACCTGGTGAGTGGCCGCGCCCGCCCACTAGGTATCGGTTAACTGCATACGTGAGAGCCGACCTTTGCACCCATCTGAACTTGCGCTTGATTCGAAGATAATGTCGCTAATCAATATGTCTACACAGTACATACACGATTTGTCGCCGTTAGCTCTAAATGCATGTGCCTAAATACCAAACCCAAAGCCAATACTGCTACGTCTTGCCTGCCAAATATGATTAGCAGACATCATAGCTACATACATGACCGTGCAACCATAGCAGCAGTACAAAGACGCTTGAGCTTTTTGCGGTCTTGCGAGTCGTCATGACTCGTGAGTCGTGACTAACTGATAGTAACATTTTTATGGTCAAATGGACATGGAACACCATAATGGTTCTGCATTCACAGGCCCGCAGTCAAGCAGAACGCCAGGCAGTCAACTTCGTGATCCAGGGCTCAGCGGCCGATCTGTGTAAGCTGGTGATGGTGGCGGTGGCGGAGGCAGCCCCCAACGTGCCGCTTCTGGCCCAGCTTCACGACGAGCTTCTCTGGGAGGTTAGCGGCCGACGTGCTCCGCGCGAACGGCCATTTCTGCGGCGATCCATGCATCGTGTACCCACCCACCTACCGTCGGGATAATGCTGACACAACAGTACAACACTTGAGATTATTAGCACTGGGAGCCTTCCCGGGCGCTGCGGCCTGCAGAAGTCGCGTCCCCGTGGTGACTACTGACTCTGTCATGAGAGGGGTGGGGTTGGCAGGTATACTGACTCCCAACTCTCATGCCCGTCAAATGCTCGTAAAATGAATGCTCATTCCTCCTTGCGTACTGCGTTCTCAAGCGTTTTTAGAGGGTCGTGTCACCGATGAATAACAAGATTAGGGTTATCAAAGGAGAGGTTGTATTAGGCAGGGGGTGTCGAAGTCTAGTAGGAAAATCTGGCAAATTCCCTGCGTGACGTCACGTCGGGGATGACCGACGGCACCTTGCACTGAAAGATACGGCAGAACGGCTATTTTTGAAAAATGATTAAAAATACTTTTGTGCTGTTATGACGCATAAAACGCTTATCAGCATGTTCCTCACCATGTGATAAAGGCATATCCGTGGTCGAAAATAGCTCAGCCCCTCCCAATTTCCAACCACCGACCTCATAAGCAAAGGATGTAAGCGTAATCCTTAAGGGCGACTTTCCTATACATATCCGTACATATGCGTCCTTATGGAAATCGGTAGTGTGGCGATTGGCGACGCGCGCGACATCTGTGTGGCGACCAAGTGGCGACTGTGGCGACACCTGGTGGCTGCTTTTCTGCTGTATGTAGGCATTGGGGTTTTGCCAGATGTGGTTCCTACTGCTACACCACTATGTTGACCCAATACTAGAAAAGTTATTTTGCTAGTAAAAGGCAAGCAAATTGAAAGTTGATTTATAAAATTGCTTATAAATGATTACGAGATAATAATAAATAAATTTTGATTGAATAATTATTTAAATAATCAACCGTGAAACTATATTCTGGTAGGTTTAGTAGAAATAAGTCCGTGCAACCTTGTGTTTAGGGCCTTGGTATTAGGTACATAACAATGTTCTTAACCCGCGCCGGGCCGGGGGGGTGTTTGAACACCCCCCTGCGGTGTCTCGCAGATATCTCAAAAACGGCGGCGCTCCCTGTTCGTGCATCTTTTCCGCACATGTTGTGAAAATTTCAGACCCAGGTCGCCTTACCCAGTAAACATGCCGACGTCGGCCCGACGTCGGCCGACGTCGGGGTGACGTCGGCAACTCGGCATCGACATGCCGACGTCGGCCCGACGTCGGTCCAACCTCGGCACGACGTCGGCTGGATGTCGGATATGCCCGCATGTTCCGACGTCCAGCCGAGGTCCAGCCGACGTCGGGCCGACGTCGGACCGAGATCAATTGCTGAGGTCCATCCGACGTCGGGCCGACGTCGGGGCGACGTCGGACCGACATCGACCGCTGTTTTGACCATTAAAATAATATAGAATACATGTTTCATGTTTCATAAAGAGCTTCTGTATTCAAAATATCCTCAGGACAAATCTTCCTCCACGCCGCAACCCCCTGATCCGGACTGGACGGGAAACTTTATCCCATTTGGGATTGCCCGTAAGCCGAGCTCGCCCGTAGCCGGGTGCGGTGAGTGCTTGGGGGCTGCTCGGCCTATCCTTTGGTCAGGCTCAGCCCCGGCAACTCACCAGTCACCAGGGCCGGGCCCAGTTCATATAGAAAGGCCAGTCGGCAAGTGTCACTTTGCCAAAGTGACACTTATCAAAGGGACACTTTGGGAAACGTTGGTGCAGGTGTGTACGAGTGGCTATATGAATCCATTGTGGGGTCGCCCTTTCCAATAAGTGTCACGTAACAGCAATGGGACCAGGGACTCTATATGAACTGGACCCAGGGTGCTCGCCAAGAAGACCAATGTCTCCATCCTATGAATTATGATCCTTCCGGCTCTGAGATGGTCTTGTCAGACCGAAAGGGCATAAGGCAACAAAACAAACCACAGCCGTTAGCTGGCTGCGTGGTGTAGTGGTTAGCGCACTAACATCGCGTTCGAATGACACGGGGTTCGAAACCCATCGCCGGCCGACGCTTTTGGCGTGTTGTCCCAGTACCATGCCGACGTCGGCGACTGGGGGGCTCGAATCCCGCCGCCGTTTGATATTTTTGGCGCATTGTCCCAATAAACATGCCGACGTCGGCCCCGTCGGTCCAACGACAAACGATCTCGTCAACCTCGGCAAACGATCTCGGCCCGACGTCGGCTCGACGTCGGCTGGACTTCGGCTGGACGTCGGAACATGCGGGCATATCCGACGTCTAGCCGATGTCGGGCCGAGGTTGAACCGACGTTGGGCCGACGTCGGGCCGAGCCTCGGCCCGACGTCGGGCCGACGTCGGCATGTTTACTGGGTAGGTCAGGTCACGCCAAGTGACCTCACCTCAGAAAAAAATAATAATGCTCGTCATAGCTACACCGACTGATCGATTGCCTTCAAACTTTCAGCGATTGATAAGAGCAACATTATCTATAAAATGTATATCTCGGAATTTTGATATCGGTGACTTAAGGTCAGGTCAATTTTGCGGCCTGTCAATGGGAGAAAATTGAAAAGCGTCTGTTTTGCACGAACGCTAGTCTAGACACTCTCAAACATCATGATTTAGGTAAAATTGACACACTGAACCGGAAAATGGTAACTGACCCCTCGTTATGTCCTCAAGGTCATCTCAGGTCACGAACAGAATCTAACAGTTTTTCATCTGATAAAGGCGTGCTAGAGCGCTGAAAACGCCTTAGATGTGTTCGCATCGACGTTGCGGATCGACTGATATGCAGTATGACCTTTTCCGGTCAGGTCATGACCTTGACCTGAGGTCAAATTTTCGAGTTGACCTTTCAAGGTCAAATTATAGTTCAATCGACGCGTCTCGACAAGAGGATGCTGGCAAAATTAATGCCATGGCTCTTTTGAGTCAAAAGTTATTGCCGAAAAAACGCTTTTCGTAAAAACGGCTATTTTTGGAGTTTATGCCCTCTGGAGGCTAAACCGTTGACCTGAGGTCAAATCTGAGAACATTAAAATCAGAAAGGTCTGTAAAAGGGCTATCGAATGCGTTTTTCCGCAGCGCTGTAGCTCTATCGGTTCCCGAGATAGCCGTTGGTAGTTTCCAAAATGTTGAAAGTCAACATTTTACCTTCGGTGACCTCTGGTGACCTGACCCAAAAAATGACCGAAGTGTTTTCGTCCCTATTATGGAGGTTCTTTCTATTGCCGCTTACCGCGTGTCGCTACGTGGCCCAGGAGCCGAGTAAGGAGGGGGGGGTGTTCGGGGGTGTTCAGACACCCCCCGGCCCGGCGCAGAATCTCAGAGCACCGGCCCGGCGCGGGTTAAGGCCTAAAAAGGTGTCTATCTGATGTAGTTTTTCACGGCGAATCGAATGGTGCTGTTTTTGTTTCCGTACAAGATCTAGAACTTCCCAAAAAATCATTTTATAAAAAAATTTGTGTGTCGTGACATCATAAAATTTTGAATAACTCCCACAGTTTTGAACCGATTTTTCTAAAAAATTGGTATGTAGGTGGACATAGACCACTTCTCTGACATATATTCCGGCTTTTTGGATACACTTAATTTGGATTTTATAATCCTATTTTCCCAAAAGTCAGTTTTTTTTTAGAAAAAATTGGGCTAAAATCCAAGATTTTCAAAAAATCGAGATAGCCAATTGATAGACAAATTAGGTTCATGTTAAACTTTTTTTGTTAGGGGAGAGGCGGGAGAATTGGGACTTATTTCTCAGGCCATGTTCATTGAGGTATTATTTGGCAAGTATTGTAGCCAAGCTGCTTTGCGCAGCGCCAATAAAAGGTCGCACCATTTCTCTGCATTATGCCATCATAAAATAGCGAGCCTGTGCAATGATGTAGCTATATGTGGACAAAAACAAAAACACTCATTTTCAGGAGAATAGGGACACATGCAGGGAGACAAGGGACAGACACGAAGCTGAATTGGGACATATAAAAATCGGGTATTGGGATGACTCTTTCTCGAATTATTTGTCGTGTCTATGTTTATAGGCAATCATTTGATACATTGGAACTTATCTTCACACTATCTGTTTCGTTAAATGCCGAGATCGTCTTTCACGATTACGATGTTCCCATAAAATGCACATTTTCCTACCAGAGTAAGACTTTCTGGTCTTTGCTTTGATGTATTTGTGGTTAAGGGTGCAGCTGCAACCCCTTCCAAAACACGAAGGTAAAAACACATATTTTTGCACCACTTTACCGTTTTTACCATTTGGTGTCCCTATTCTCCCACAACACCGCCATAACAAATCACGCATTTTTTTTGTCATTTATCAGTTACAGAGCGTGTTCATAGAAACTAGCAATCGCATAAGGACGGTGTTAATCTAACATCGTAACATGTTGAAAGAAAGATAGTTTGTCATATGCAATGCACAGACAACTCAGAATAGCACTCGAAAAAACAAGTTTTTTGGTGCTCAGCCAGCACAGCCCAAACGACGCCCACAAAAGGGTTGCTAAGGCTTCCCATCGTTGCATGACACATAGAATCAAAAGGTAAAGGCAATAACCGTGCAAGGATGCTGTCCATTTTTTAGATATTGGCGTGTCCCTATTCTCCTGCGTCCCAATTCTCCCGCCTCTCCCCTACGTCTTGATTCCTTTAAAGGAAATAGTTCACTTTTAACATGGGGTTTGGAACTGGAATAGCAGTTTTGTTGCTTGCGCTGAGACTAGCACAAATCAGAAGCTTTTACGGCCCAACGATCACCCTAGACGAAGATATTCCATTTTTCGTTCCGAAAAGAGTGCCTTGCAGAGGAATGCGTGCCTTGCTGAGGAATGCAGTCACGTAATCGTCAGCCAATCAGAATGCTGCTTACAGCCGATGGGTTTGTCCTACGCAATATGATTGGTCAACGCGTAATAAGCTTCCGCGTCAAACATTATTTTATGTAGAATATAGTTCTTCTTATACTAAAATATAGAAAATAATCCTTTTTACAAAAACGTTTTGTTTTATTTTCTGATCATTTTGAGCATAAAAAAACATAAATCCATAGCAAAATACTAATTTCAGGAAAGTGAACTATTTCCTTTAACCCGCGCTGATACTGTAGAGACTTGCATTTTGTATCCTTGACCAGACCTTGACCTGACCTCCCACCTACTTCAGCAAAAAAAAAATCGGCTATAAAGATCCGCCTTGTTGAGAGCTTTCGATTGACGTTTCCCCCGTCTTTCTACGACCATCGGTTCGGAAGTTAAACAAGGGGGCAGAATCTGTCCCCCCAGCAGGGCGCGTATGGCTGAATAGCCCAGCGGGGCGCGGGTTAAATAAACCCAGAAAAAGAGGAATTGATCTCGAAAAATGCATTTTAGGTTACCTACACCATATAACCCGAAGGAGGGACAACTGCTTACCAAAAAGTCACTCCGCCTAATGCCCGAGCCCCACAGGATGATATGATTGAAAGCGCTGCAAATTTGCGGATTTCTAAAAAATTGCGAATCACAAAGTTGAGGATTTCACGAAGTTACCTCTCCTTACCCTACGTATTTTACAGGTACAGCCCTCAGCAGACTGCGTGGTAGGTATTCTTTTTTCGACAAAACCGGTAATAACTCAAAGACTATGATCTGTCGGTCGGAATTCATTGCAAATAGAGGCACCATGCTCCACTCCTTCGATTGGGTCTATCACTTAACAAAGTATATGCTTTGTGTGGCAACAAAATGCAACAGTTTGTTTTGGGGGCAAATATAAGCTTTTGGGTTTTGTTGCCAAACTGGATGGAAAATGAATACGATGGTAATGCCCATCTAAGGTGCGGAGTCTCGCGCGTTTTGCTGTTACGATTTCCGAGTGACCGATAGCATAGTATCCGCGATATTCTCGGTTTTGTTGAAAAAAAAGAATACCTACCACGCAGTTTGCAGAGGGCTGTATCTACCTGATTTAAATTTTAAGCGAAATCAAAGTCGTCGTTGATTTTGAATATCTGCTGCATATCTATGTGAATGTTGAACTGCTTCTGACTTGGTGCACCTGTGCAGTGATTGGCTGGGATGCGGCCACCGCTCGGTGGCAGTGCGTGTGCCGGCGCGGCGGCCGGCTGTGCCGTGGTCTGAGAGCCGCCGTGGTGCGTCTGACCCGGCAGGTGCCGCAGGGCCGGCTGGGCGAGTTCCGCGCGCTGGTGGAGCGCCAGGTGGGCCGGCTGGACGCGCTGCTGGCCGCCGCCGGCCACCGGCAGCCGCTGCTGGTGCCGCTGCCGGTCTCCATCGCGGCCGGCGTCTGCTGGGCGCACATGGAGCCGCTGCCGCCGGCCGACCGCGCCTGAACCCGGCCGACCGCGCCTGAACCCGGCCGACCGCGCCTGAACCCGGCCGACCGCGGCTGAACCCGGCCGGCCGCGGCTGAACCCGGCCGGCCGCGGCTGAACCCGGCCGGCCGCGGCTGAACCCGGCCGACCGCGGCTGAACCCGGCCGACTGCACTGCCGGGCCAGTAGCTCATCAGCTCACATATCTGCCAGCCAGCTGTTGCTGCAACTGTTCGATTGAAGCATTACATACCTATCAACGTGTCAAATAGTGTTCAGCATTTATGCTTCATATGATGTTTCTGCGTTTCCATCTGTTACCAGTCTAATATACCTAAGTCGTGATTGAACAAGTTGTATTTGGCTTCTAGTCATTTCGTTTCTCCTCTTTGCGTTTCCGTGCCTCATTCTGCTGGCTATCAGCGGCGTCACCACGGTTCTAGGGACACAACTTCTAGGGACACTTTTCCAGGGCGTCGCCACAAACCTTTCCTTGAGTCTGGTCGCCAATACCCACCTACTCCCAAATCTGCGTTCCTCGTTGGATTTCGGCCACTGATTTAAAAACGAGGTAGAATAATTAATATTGATTTGGGAAAGACGAAGAAGTTACGCGGTAGTATGCATATTCTTCTATCATGAAACGCGTACACATCCTACTGCCTATATGCTTGATGTGACGCATCGGTACTTTCAGACTACATTATGCATTAATCGTATATGCAATCGGCTCCAACTGCTCAGCTCATCCTTGAGCTGCTCTGCTCGCAGCTGCTCGGCACTCAGCGGTTTGATTCCCATCTCAATGACGGTACAAACCGACCGAGTGCACGAGTCGAGGTCGATGACCGACCACGGTCACTTTTTGGCTTTGCCCTTCTTTCATTGCCCTCCAAGACAGATGGCTCAGTGCGGTATTTCGGGCCCCGGGCGCACCTCGAACTGCCGCACCTCGAACTCGAAACCGAGCAGCCTCAATGCATCCCCCACAAGTCACAAGTCGTGAGGAGCATTTATTTGGGTTCCGTTGTGGCCTGGAGCAGGTATATGAGAGCGCTGTTGTCTGTGGTCAGTATGAAATGCCGTTGCCGACCGGCAAGGTAGTAAAAGAACTTCTCAAAGAGCAACGACAACCACGATGCTATCTTTTACCAGTATAGGCTGTGGGAGCTCGGACGGCGTCAACACCCGGCTAGCGTAAGCTATAGGGTGAGACTGAGAGCCATCCTCAAACTCCTGATGCAGCGCCGCTCCCAGTGCTCGTCAGCTTGCGTCGGTGTAGACGTGAAATGGGTATTTACCCGAGAAGTCGGGGTACCGGAGCACCGGACTCTCGCATAAACACCGTCTCAGCGCCTTAAAAGACTCCCTGCACTCCTCGGTGAATACACACGGCACGTTCTTCTTCAGTAAGTTCAGTAAGGGTCGTGCCAGGGCCGCAAAACCAGGTACGAAGCGCTTGTAGAAGCTGGCCAAGCCTACGAAAGCTCTTAGCTAGATGTCTTTTTGGCCGGTTCTGCTATTTGGGCGATTGCCTGTGTTTTGCTGTCATCGACACTAATGCCCTCGGGAGAAATGACATGACCCAGCACCAACCCAGCACTTTCACTGACCGATAGAGAAGCCTGGCCGGTTTGTACTTCACCCCGTGCTTCTGAGCCAGCTGTAACGTGTCCTCCAGCGTCTCCAGGTGCTCAGCTTCAGTCGTGGTGGAGCAGATCAGATCGAGATAGCAGGCCACCTTTCCCGTGACCAGCACTGGAGCATACCCGGCGTCCACTACCTACCCGCTGGAGACTAGCACTGCTATTCTTTAGACCCATGAGCACTTGTAGCCCCCGAGGGGTGTTATGAAACCAGCGAGCTTAGCGCACTCAGGCAGCACCCGTATCTGGTAGAAGGCAGAAACTCTTAGACCTTAGTCATGTCGATCTAGCTCACAAAGCCCCTGTTTCAACCCAGGTCTTCTAATATGCGCTGCATATTAGGGAGCGGGTAACTCAGGGTTTCCCTTTTAGCTTGACCAAGGACTGACAAGACACGGACGGTCGCAGACTTGGCGTTGGGGGGGGGGGGGGGGGGTTGAAGTGTTGCAGGCACCAGCCAAGTGTTTAAAATCTAGATGGTCAGAACATATATGTTTTGTTGTTGTTTGTTGCTGAGTGCTGACTTATAATAAACAAGTACAGATTCGGCCATCTTCCTATAACTGAGGAAGCGAGATCAGCATCTACTGTTTCCTATCCACTACGGCTTGCTGGTTCCTGAATAAGATGGAATCATGTAAAAAATGTGTTAATAACTCACTGGTCCAGAGAAGTCACCAAATAATATCAATATGTATAACAACTATATTGATATCTTACGTCTATCAATTCAGCAGCAACGAATATCAGCCTCACAGCAGCATATTTTGGGGTCTTTCGATTTGGCTGAAAATCGGTATACAGGGCCTCCTCGATGCGCTGATTCCGAAAATGTGCCTCTTTGAGGTGGTGTTTTGCACAGTTAACGGCCAATTAACATTTTAACGGGAAATGGCGGGGTCTTTCGATTTGCCTGAAAATCGGTATACAGGGCCTCCTCGATGCGCTGATTCCGAAAATGTACCTCTTTAGGGTGGTATTTTGCACCGTTAACGAGTTAACGGCCAATTAACATTTTAACGGGAAACGGCGGAGTCTTTCGATTTGGCTGAAAATCGGTGTACAGGGCCTCCTCGATGCGCTGATTTCGAAAATGTACCTCTTTGGGGTGGTATTTTGCACCGTTAACGAATTAACGGCCAACTAACATTTTAACGGGAAACGGCGGGGTCTTTCGATTTGGCTGAAAATCGGTGTACAGGGCCTTCTCGATGCGCTGATTCCGAAAATGTACCTCTTTTGGGTGGTATTTTGCACCGTTAACGAGTCAACGACCAATTAACATTTTAACGGGAAACGGCGGGGTCTTTCGATATGGCTGAAAATCAGTAGGTATACAGGGCCTCCTCGATGCGATGATTACGAAAATGTGCCTCTTTAGGGTGGTAGGGGAGAGCGGGGTGAGTTGTATCATGTCCAAGTTGTATCAGGGCGAATTGTGCCAAACTTATGCAATAGATAGCGCTCGTGACACGACCAGCCGACGAGGTTTTCCGGGCGCCATCTTTCCCTGTTCTGTCGTGTGGCTGGGTGGACGCGTCTCGAGGTGAGAGCCGATTTTATGTTTTTTTAATGTCATTCTAAAAAAATAAGTTGCAGGAAAATGTGTGTTTTGGGCATTTAGATGTGCACGAATTTGAAAGATCTCCGTAGCGGTGGTGAGGGTAGTTTCTAAGACTGCGTGAGTGAAAATGGATTTCTCCAGGTGTCCGCTGTTTCTGAGCACGAGGATGTTTTTTCCAAGATGGCGGCGAGGTACATGTTGTATCAGAGCCGGGTGGGGTATGTTGTAACATGTATGTATGTATGTTTGTATGGGTATGTTGCTTTTGATCGCGAAAGCTAAGTCCTGGCTCGCGTTTGTAGGTAGCTAGTCAATACCCGTTCCATTTCGGCACAATGTGTTGGCTGCTTTGCTCTTAACGGGTCACTTTTGCGTCTAGTCTGTTGATGTTTCGTTCGTTTCGATGTTTCGTTCGGATTGACCTAAGTTTGGTCTAATAAAGGTGAAGTCTTTGAGCATATACATTGTATTATCCCCATTTAATGTTGTTGTTATGTTCAAAACCAGTAGCAAGCACACTCCCTGAAACGTGAAATAGTGATACAAATTACCCCACCATGTGATACAACTCACCCAAGCCATGGGGCAAGTTGTATCAAAAACATTGTTCTATTCGGCAGACCGTAGAAGAAAAACTGGTAGAAGTAGCGGAAAAGTTACTTTGCACAAAAAAGCAGAAGAATCAAGGAAGGAGATAGTATGGAACTAATGAGTTTATCACGGATAGTTACGAGGTTATGGGTCTCGGAGTAAAAACTGATACAACCCACCCCACTCTCCCCTACTAGTAACTAGGGTGACCCGCGTGCTCCGCAACGCAAAAAGGGGCATTTTTGATCGGCGGGTGTTTGGTTGTTCTTGTGTCGGTTGGCTTATCTATCCATTTCGGTTGATTGCTTTTGGACGGCTAAACGATTTGGTTTGGAAATAATATCCATCGCATCGAGGTGCCCGTGTTTGATAAGCATGCTTTCTATTTCAGAACCTGTCATTTTAGTTCAGTGAACCTGTAAAATGTGTTTTATAAGTTAGGTGCGTAGTTTTATGACAAATGGAAGCCGTAGATAATTTTCACTAAAAATGGTTTTGCGGAGGTTTGAAACATTTACATTTTTTAAGAATACTGTTGCTTGTCAGGCAAACGTGATAATTGGATCTTGGAGAGAATTGAATGCTCTTTCCAATGATAGTATTTTCAATTGTCAAACGTATTAGGTTAAGCAGCAAAATCCGTGTAATTATTTATTGCCACATTATGGACAAATGCCATTTTCTTTAGCGATTTATTCCACCTTATTTTGATCAATTAGTTTTTCACAATTTTTCCATGAGAGGCGGTACATTTTTATTGCTAATAGGCGCTGTTTCAACTCGCTCTGTCAGACGGTCACCAGAAATCAATATAAAATCCAAAATCCGTCCAAAACGTCCATTTTTCAAAAGAAAGTTCCCTCTCCGGTGCACGTGGCGCGTGCCAACCCCTGCACCGCACACCATTCGATAGCCCGTTCGATTCTCTACACGATGCTGCTTTCCCCGTGCCGGTCTGGCCTACGGTTACCGAGATATTGCACCGGGACCGGACCCGTGTTGGGCAAATTTGGCTGTTTTCGCCCGATTTCGCACGCCGATTTATACAATATACATGCAAAGTCTATGACGCGAATTTGCACTTTTTAGCCACGCGCCACGCCCGCTGGCTATCAATCCGATCGAGCTGAGACCCGTCAAAGGCACGTTGTCCATCCTTGTTCTATAAGTTGCACAAATTTCAGCGCGCTGGGTGCAACAGTCTGACCTGTAACCCGCGCTACGTAACACCATGTCGCGACCTCGGTAACAGACAGAAACTACGTCACCACAAATAGTATAGTAGATTTTGCACCGTTAACGAGTTAACGACCAAATAACATTTTAACGGGAAACGGCGGGGTCTTTCGATTTGGCTAAAAATCGGTATACCGTGCCTCCTGGATTCGCTGATTCCGAAAATGTACCTCTTTGGGGTGGCATTTTGCACCGTTAACGAGTTAACGGCCAATTAACATTTTAACGGGAAACGGCGGGGTCTTTCGATTTGGCTGAAAATCGGTGTACAGGGCCTTCTCGATGCGCTGATTCCGAAAATGTACCT